CGGCCATTTATTGGGGTCTTTGTAATACCCTAGACTGAGAAAGCCATAAAAATAACAAAAAAATCATAACTATTTTGGCATTCAGTTCTCTTTTCGACACTGTTTCCTAACTAAAATAACTAAGCGCTACTTTTCACCAGCACCCAGTGTCGAAGAGTTTTGCTTTTCGACACTCTGTTGAGTGCAAACAATATTGTTGCAACTCGTTTCAAAATTCGATTTGTTCGACACACGTCTAAACTACGACTCGTGCTGAAACAATCTTCTCTTTTCACCTTGTTGCATGAATATCTGTTTTGCAAGCATCGTACCATCTTTGAAAAAAAAAACAAGCATAGGGTTTTTGATCTAATTTCCGTCCTACTAGGCGCAACCCGCGCTTTACCTCTCTTTTCTGAACAAGTTCAAACAAAAAATGGAATATTTCTGTCAATCTTTGACTTCTAAATTTATTCACCTTTCCCGGAGATGAACTTGCCATAGGCTAAAACTCTCTTTAATAAAAAAAAATCACCTTTGGATTTGATATAGAATAACAAATTGTTGAGATACTCCCTCCCCTTGGCTAGTTTTTGCACCTTGCTGTTGGTGGGCGGGCTTAATTTCATGCTTTATAGTGGAGTGTTGGAGGCGGTAGGTTTATCGTCGGCGTTGCTGGATCATGCCTCGATAGAATGGCGTCATGGGCAGGCAATGGGGATTACTAAGCTTCCCTTCTCTGATAAACCACTGCATGAGAGAACCAAAGATCTAGTCTAGCAGTGATAGTATCACACTTGTTACTCCTTTAATTGAGAGCCGCGTCGTAGTACGCTGACGTATAGGCACTGACGTTGGGTGTGATACTGGCGGGTTTTGCCGCTAATCATTCTTATTTTTATTTATTTTTACGCAGATAGATTTATTTGGGTTTGCAAGGGAATTATACTATTGAAATATTTCAGAAAGTGCCCAACGGTGCTCCTTCTATTTGCGTGACAAGCTTTCATTGTTGTTTTCATTGAAGTATTACTCAGGAAACAATGTTAAACATCATTTTTATACATGGTATTGTAACTAATCTTATATGTGCTTCATTTTGATTTGGGATAAGTGTTTGAACTATGGCTCGGGTCTTCCACTGTGGCGTTCTTCTATTGTAACATACCCATACGTATTTTTGTGGTGCGACATAGTGGAAGCGTGTGAGCATAGTTGGAGCATATACCCTATATAATTTAAAAATCAGCTAGGAAACTAACTTCAAAATGAAGCATTTTAGTCACATGAAGGTGTTACCTGGGTCGAACTAAGATATAATAAATAGGTATAGGTCAAAATCAAAAGTACTTGAAATACGTTTAATTTTAGATTACAAGCACAAGTGCAGGTACTTAATAAAGCATGGGTTATGATTGATTAGGTGAATTAGAGCTTTTAATAATTTATTAAATTAGGCTAATGAGTTATCATAATCATCAAATGAACTTAAATAAGAAACTTCAGAAAGTCTAATGACATTAAGTAGATTAACAAAAGAATTAGGATGTGGGGGGTCCGCTTAGGGAGGCAACTAACCTTTAAAGTTGTAGAATAAATCTTCTTATTTAGTCTTGAACTTTAAAAAGAAAACGCAGGCAGATCAAAAGCCTTTAGCAGATTAACAAGGAGAGGAATAGTTTAGGAAATAAGTAAAAGTAGAGGTATGTGACAATTAATAGCTTTTAAACTTTTGAAGGTATTGTATTCCCCTGAGTTTGTTGTACTAGATTACTATATAATTCTCTCAATACGCGAAATCTCTTATATATGCGGTTAAAGCATTTGAGTTAACTTATTTCTTAGTGTTCAAGTACTTACATTTGTAAACAGCAGTCATTGTTAATCTATGAACTAAACCATACGTAAAATCGATCTTTCCTTATGTGGTATTGATTCATGTTCAACTTTTCGCGGCTGTCGGAATCAACGCGTCTACGTCTACGGAGCTTACGCCGAAGTGATTCGCAATGCGGTAGAGCTCACCAAAAGTTTTTTTTAGCTTCTGTAGTATAGAATTTGTTCGGTACGGTCGCGAAATCTTGGAATGATTGATACGTGCGGTAAAATAACTAAATTGAAACAAAGCTCAACAGTAAAATAAGTAGAATATTTAGGGAGGAAACCAAAATTAATCAACTTGCCATCACATTTATTTTGGTGGCACTCTTTAAATGATAATAAGCCTTTTTTCTCGCTTCGGTTGTCTCGCACGGCTTTCGGAATTCGCGCGGTTTTTGTAACTTACATAATTTAGATATTTCGTTCGAAACGGATTTACTTATTCAATCGGTTTACTACGCGGATGTATCTACGTGCACACGTTACAGCATTTTTTCTATAACTATCTTGAAACAATACATACGGAATCCAGTGTTCAAGCGGCCAACATAGGCTAGTCCTTCTGCTGTATTGTCAAAGATAGAAGCAAAATTTATTCAAATGGGTCAAGCCTTGAAAATTAAGCTGTCACGCAGCTCCAGCTTGATACCCAAAAAAAATTGTTGAGATACTGTTTAAAATCTAATACTGCTTCTTGATTCCAAATTCGTTCTACGAGTTTCAATTTCGTCCTAACGCATTGAAACGCCATTAGATTTTATTTGTCTTACGGATAAATGTAGAAAAGGCACAACAATGCGCTTAACAGGATTTATGTTGTAGCTTTTGAACTAACGTATCGAAATAAACCTATTATTGATTTGTGCACGGTGAAATCAGTAATATTATTGATGTTTTCTGATCGATATAACGGATATAGGCGATTACGACGGCGATCACAAAATGACCCCAGAATTGATTTCGGAAACCTATCAAGATTGATTGAGTTGTAGTAAAATTCCGATTGGTTTAAAAAAACGCTCTCTAGATTTTATCCCGAAATTTTAATTACTAGCCCATAGTGCCCAGGTGGCCGTGTGCTCCTGCCATTTAATTTTATGAATAGTGACAAATTGTGTTGATTATATTTAAAATATATTCCTGCTTCTTTATTACAAATTCATCATAAGAGTTTCAATTCCGTCTGAACACATTGAAACGTTTCCGTCGCCGTAGGGATGAAGTTATCAAATAATAATAATGATGATAATTCAAGGTCGCTAAACAGAAGCATCGCTTTAAAAAAAACATTGGTTTACATATTCGTTCGAAGCATTCTTAAAGAATTAGTTTATTTACTGTTAAAATAAAATACATATTTTTTAATTGTTCACGAAGAAATCATTGATATTTTGATGTTTTCTACTCGATAGGACGAAAATAGGCGCTTTGGAAAACGAAGCATTCTACCCTTCTACCATGTCCAATGAAAATATAATTTTTATTTATACTCAAATGAGATGAAAAAAAAACAATGACAATTGTTTTGCTGAGAAATTTATACAAGGTCGTTCAAATATGTGGGTTCTAGCTGAACTTCCTACGCAGTTGAGTTGCGTAATCCTGTTAGCGTAGAAAAATGAACAATGAGGCTATACTTTAGTGATGTAACCAAACTTCCTAGAAATCATGTTATCCACAAGTCATACCAGCTAAATTTAACCCTAAATCAGAAATAAAAACTATTGGAAATCGTGAAAACAGCGCACTGCAGCATGCACCATTTACACTAACAGATGCAAGACAAAACGAAAATAACAATTCTACGACAAGTGAAGGACCAACGAAACCTGTCATTTTTATAATTATATAAAATCTGACCTACAGCATCCCTCTTTAGATAGCCGGTTGGCTGTACGCCTAGTTTCCATCCTTATCCTTTCCCTGGCAGCTGCGATGGTAAAAAAAGAAAAAGAAAAACGAAAACCAACTGCAAGCGTCAATGGAAAGCGCCACGCAACTAATTAGTGCGTTAGTGTTGGTATAGTTCAGAGTGGGTTGTAGTTCCATTGTCCTTTCTGATCTCTGGTGGAATCTTGCCTTACTCACTCACACCAGACTTCGATGACCCCTCACCCCTCTCTCAGATGCTGCAGTGGACAGTTTGTTGTCTAAAACAACAGTCTCTCGAATGATCCTCGTGCGTTTTTCTACCGGGTCTGGGTTAAATAAGTGGGAAGAAAACAGCATACTGAATCTGGAACGTAAAACTAGTTGTCTCTTTTAGGTTCTCTAAAATTCTCTCCGAAATGCGGCGAGATTGAGAGGCAAGAATGCATTCCGAGAGACGCGCCAAATGGTTTCAACCAACGAGGAGAGCTGTTCAAGGCGCGTAAAATATTGTTACCTACGGAACACGTGGTTGAGAGCACGAGAGCATTGGAGAGTCACCGATGGGAAGCAACACCATTAGACGAATTTTATGCTTTGTTATGCTTTTCTTGATTCTGCTACTCTTCGTAACACTCACACGTTGAAAGTTCCAGAGCCGGTTGGTAGTGTTATTCTGATCGTACCTGTTTGGGTAGTAGGTAGGGACTGTTGTTCGGAAGATCTTCAGCAACAAAAGTGTGCGAATGTGCGACTCTGCTGTTGCTCCTTGAAGAGCGCATCGTCACACCAAGGGAAAATCTTTGTCACCTTTACACATACACACTTCCATCTCATGCTAAGTCAGTGGCATGTTAGTTTTATGCTATGTACCTATTACGATTGAACTGATGCTGCCTGCTGCTGTTGCTGCTGGACTCTCCACTCGGTTGTGATAGATGCTTGGGCTTCACAACAGCAACCCAGGCCAAAGCCAAGCAGCCAGCCGGTCCGGTGTGCACACTGGGCTTGGTGTGTTAGTGTGCATATTGGTGGATATCCTTCTCTTACTCTTTCGGCAGTGTCACGATGTACATAAGACGCACTGGACACACTCTTCTATGTACACTGGGTCGACCGACGCGTTAAGACGATGCGATGCGCTGTCGTCGGAGGGGGAGGAAATGTGTATGCATGATAGAAAGAGTAAGTGGATGCGAGTGTGTGTAGAGATGGAGAAGATTAAACATATTTTCGCTTAAACTGTTTGGAGACGTCCAGTTGTTGAGCCGTTGGGCTCTATTTGTTTCGAAGCTATATTTAGGTTTCATTTGACAACGCGTCCTCGGCCGAAGCGAACGTGAATTAGTTTTCTTTCCGTTTCTCCCAGCGCTAAACTCTCAATAGTTTGGACTAGTGCTGAAACCGAGTAGAAGAGAGAAGTGATCGTTTGGACACAGCATTCAGCAAACCAGTCGTGATAGTGGAGTGTGTTGTGGTCTACAGTGATAATTAAAATTTATTGTTATTCTATGTAAATTTCGGCGGAAATGAACTGTTGTTTTAGTTTCTTTTGAGTTTAAGTCTTTATTTTGTATAAATAGTTTTTGTTTTCTCTTTGTTAATATTGAGTTAATTAATGTGATTGGTGGAACTCTGTTGCACACGAACATCCGATGAGAGTTGATCGTATTGGAAAAAAATGCAAAAAAGTTAAATCTGTGGGAAAATCGAAACCCGAAGAACGTTGTGCCAGTGCTTGACATGTAATTGTGAGCTGATATTTATTTTCTGGAAAACTGGGAGATCAAAAACTGAACGAATTAATGACAGTGTACCGTGTGTGTTGTGTGAGTTATGGCCAGTAATGGGGGGACTCTACATGGGGTTCCCCAATCGCAACAAAGTCTAAGTGGTCATCACAGTTGCTCACACTGTGGTCTCTACTTTGAGAGTTCGTCGTCGCTTCAAGTGCATATGCACTACCATCATGAAACAATGAATCGTTGGGGTCCCACGTCGACGGGAAGTTTACCCAGTTCAACTACATCGTCTACGCCAACGTCTGATACGGAAAATAATAATCAACCATCGTTGAAGTCGCACATAAAATCTTCGTCGCCACATCAAACTATTGCAGCTGCAGCAGATTCAAGTGATAATCAACCATCGACGCCTCAGCCACAATTACTTCCTGAACCAGGTACGCCACAAAGTTTCACAGGCGGTGCTTCGCCATATCAACAACCAGCTGCAATTATTGCCCCACCAGATATGCATTACCCTACCTATATTCACGGATACGATCCCTACTATCATCCGACAAGCATTGACTACGGCAACCCACTTCCTCCACCGCACCTACACAGCCAGTCACAACCAGAGTACAAAGCAGTGCCTTCAGCCAGATACCATCCCTACAATAACAACAACCTCAGCAACGGTAATCACCACACTTCCTCTCTAAGTTCAAGTAACAGTGTCACGAACGGTACATCTCCTCTGAACAGTGCAGGACTAAGTCCGCAAGTTGTCAGTTCTTCCAGCAGTACTCAAAATCCGACAACACAAGCTGCCACAACAGTAGCTTCATCAACGACCACTTCGTCTCCCCAAAACAGCAGTTCACATATTCCGCCAACTCCATCTCCTTCTCCGATTCAGTGTGAAAAATGTGGCTTGGTATGCGATTCGGATGAAGTCCTTAGCGAGCACGACGCGACGGTACATCAAACACAATCCCAACAACAACAACCCCCGACGCAGCATTCAAACGAGGGTAACAGCATGAATCGAAGCGAGGAACCAGATATGCAAAGTAGCTATCCTTATGGTAACAATCCTCCACCCTTTATCAAGGAAGAACCACCTGGATCCGATATTTTGGATCTAGATTCACAAAAGATGGTTTACCCTCCAGAACCTGTACTGCCTCCTATGAATTCGCTACATCCGCTACAATCAATGCAACGTCATTCAATGATGTGGCCACATGACCCGCACAACTTTATTCCTCCACATCCACCACACGATTTGAAAGCACCATACTACCATCCTCAGATCAAATCGGAATACTCTACGACACCATCAATCAAGGGTGACTATCCGCAACATGCGGCAATGCATGTGAAATCCGAGTATACTTCGATTGTAGCACCTGCGCCAATTAAAAATGATTATAACATACCACCGACAATGCCGCCGGCTGGTCCACAACCGAACCAATCGGGGAAACAATTCACAGAAGAGATTAGTGAAAACAATCAATTGGCGACAAGTCCGTCGGATTTTCCCAGTACAACAACTCCACAGGAGAATAGTTCACAATACAGAAACTTTGAACCACCTACATCATCGCATCCCAGCAGCGGATCGAAAGGAACAGCTTGGAAGTCTAATGAAGCAAGAAGACCGAAGACATACAACTGTACCGCATGTAATAAGTGGTTTACAAGTTCCGGTCATTTGAAGCGACATTATAACACAACATTGCACAAAAACGCAGTTAAGTCAAGCGGGCAGCCAGACCCCGCAACACTGCCCATTAGCATTCACCATCATCCCGGACGGGATCCAAACTATGGAAACAAGGGAAGACGTGGCTCTGCGGCACAAATACAACAACCTATACAACAACCGGTTCCACCACCCGATCCTCCTAGAAGTCCCGACTATGGATCTCAGTATGGTGCATCGGGGTTTACTACAGCGCAGATTACCTCGAATCAGGGGTTTCACCAGTACAATTCCAATATACAAACTACTTCGTCAACGGTTCCCCCAAACGGGGTAGCAGGTCCCTCCGTCCAAGCCTCCCCACCGAGGGGCCTGCAGATCTTCTCGAACAGCAACATGGAACTGTTGCACCAGCAGGAGCAAACGGATCAAACCCCTACTATCACCACCACCACCACCAGCATTCCATCGCCGCTGCACAGTCAGCACATCATCAGTACAACGGAGCCATTCCACATCACCAACCCTTTAACTATCAACATCAGCATCCCATCATTCCAAACCATCCTGCCGGAGGCACCGAATTATCACCATATTATTGGTAATCATTCCGCACCACCATCTGAGGTCAGCGAAATGGTATCGAATGAACAGTATTTCACAATCAATGGATACGACAATGCACCAACGCAATCACCGGCTCTGGGGTTTCCTCGGTATACGGGGGGCGCCGAGGTGTATCAAGGCGATACGGCGCCCCCCTTTTCACCAAATGTACCGGAGCATTATCAGCAAACAGACTCACTCTACAATGAACTCCGTACACAGACTCCACAACTAGCCGCAACCGCACCGTCTCTTTCACCCGGTCCCGGTTCACCAAGCGTTACATCGACTGGCACCGTCTTGCCGTCGGATATTCGCCTCAACGAAGTTCACCGTTGTGATGAGTGCGATAAAGTGTTTAACAAAGCATGTTATCTAACCCAACACAACAAAACGTTTCATTCGGGTGATAAACCGTTCAAATGTCAACGCTGTGGAAAACGGTTCCCATGCGATCAATCACACGAGGAACACCTGGCGAAACATGGCGGAGAAAAACCGTTCAAATGTGAACTTTGTCCGAAGCAGTTCAACCACAAGACAGACCTTCGACGCCACATGTGTCTGCACAGTGGATCAAAACCATATGCGTGTGATCAATGCGGCAAAGGATTCATCCGCAAAGATCATATGTTGAAGCACTGCGAAACACACAGAAAGAAATCGGTAGCAGTTATGAAGAAAACAACCAACGGAAAGCTGATTACTCAGATCCACTCAAAGGCACTCATGGTGGGAGACGAATGACAATGGGTTCCAATCCGTTGTCTCACTCCCGAGCCATGATCGGAGCAACCAACGGACAATGGACAACAAACGAAAGATTCATCGACAGAATGGGTAATGTTTACAAATCTTCATGTTCTCACACATTTTTCGTTTGCAAAAATTTTGAAGAGATTTTTTTTTTAAATGCCAACGTTTCCTATCACAAGAAACAAAGTTACCTACGTAATTCCTCTTACCAAAACCAGGTGCAGTACACTACCTCAATGTAATATGTAATAATAATAAAAAAAAAAACAATCTGATAAATAGCCAATCACTAGTTTAATTGAGTATTGAAATAGCAAAAATAAACATAAGTCAACACAGAACCTACCTCAATAGTTATTACAATTCTTATTGTGCGACAGATGCCCATATTGTTGGGTCCCTCGTCGCAGAATAAGTAAAGCAATTCAACAAAGTTATACATTTTAATATGAAATGATATTTACAATTAAATACAAAACTGATGACGCAACTAAAGCAAATATAATAAGTGTATTTATCATAATAAAACACAGAAAAAGAATGTATCTGAAAACGGTGGTTCAAATGGAAAACTGAGAAAATATTTTGAAAATTATTTTAAAGCAATATTAACCGTTAATAGGAAACACACAAAATGGCTACGTCTAAGCTACAAAGCAAAACAAGTACCTCTCACTCGAAACTGCAACTATCGTCATCACAGGAAGCTCCAAAAAAAGAAGAAATAATGTTGTAAAAGTAGATTGATCAATGATTACCAAACATACAAACACAATCTTTCAATAATAAAACCATATAACAAATGTACAAACAAATCCTGCAAACCACAGGAAACCAATTGAGTGTGAAAGCAAAACTGAGAAAGTTCTCTATACGAAAGAATCATTCTTATTGTTGGGAATAAATGCAAAAGAACAAAAAAAAAACATATTAGCGTAAAAGTTCAACTCATGTCTACAGAAAACCTAACACACAAATATAGTGAAATGTTTGCGAGATCAAAACTAGAAGGAAAACAAACAATCCTACGAACCGAAACTGTATTATCAAATGGTTGTGTTAGATTAATTAATTACCTATTATTGAGGATTACAAGCTTTCCGTTTGGTTCGATTCCCGCCGATATTTCTCCATCCCGTCTGGCACCGTCCCCCGACTCGCACATGGTTCAATACCCATTCAGTTCCGTCGCCGGTAGTTTGTATCGTATTCATTAGTCCTCATCTCCTTCTCCGCATAGGTTACCTACGTACCATGCTCAGCTCACACTTCCGTCGGTCGGGCGGCTTTTGTTGATTGGTCGCGCGAACGTCTAAAGTGGATTCCCCACCATTTATATGTCTCGTCCCCTTCCCAAATCTTACAGGTCTCTCCCTTCCATCCAATATAAAGCATCATGTTGTATTTTCACACAAGTCGTTCACTCACTTTGCCTCTTTCGTTCGAGTATTTTATCCTGCACTGTATTAGGTGATTATTATCACCGTCTTTATGAGCCATTTAATTTATGATCTTCCAATCAGGTTGTAAGTCCGTTAGAATTTACATTGCGAATATTTTAGCAGACGGAACCATTGTTTTATTCAGTGAGTAAGTGAAATTTTAGTTACCGTTGTTCAGTATTTTTTAAATTTTTGTTCTAGTTACAACAAGTTGAGGATACTCAGTGGGATTTTTTTTCTATTCTTTAATTGTTATTTTAATTGTACATACCGTAAAACCTACTTGTGCCAAACTTTCATCTGAGTTATACAAATTCTTATAGTTTAATATAATCAAAGAATGTCTCAACAAACTGCACAATCATGTATTGTATGATTGATTTACCAGAAACTTGTAAACCACCTCAAAGAAAATTAAAAGCAGACATCTATATTGTTTAGTTTGTTTCTTCAAACAACGTATCATATCACGAAAGAACAATAATTTTGAAACCAACAAAAGTTTTATTAAATATTGCATATGAGAATGACATATCCACTTTTGTGAAACACAAATCCTAGCAAATATCAATTGATTTTCCATGAATACAACATATCCATCTTGAGTTGAAAAATTAAAACGAGAAATATTACAAATTGGTAAAAAAATATATCATTTCAAAATCGTTGTAACAATTGGATGTGTATTTGATAAAGTAAAAAAAAAGTGTAAACCAATAATTATAAAGAACAAATTACTCGTGACACATAGAAGTGTACATCTGAGTACCAGTGTATAAAGAGTATCATGTGGTGAAAAGTAAAACAAAAATAACATCAAGATACGAAATCATTTGCTCAAATCGATTTTGATTTGTCACACTGACACAAATCTTCCGGTTCCGTTGAGATTGTTACCAATACAATTGTAATGTGCACCACTTCTATCGACAATTAATGGATGCATTTGAGTCAAGAATGACTCTGAATTGAATTACGTTGCCATTTTTTTTCATTTATGTTCCAAACAACATCACTAGCCAATAAGCACGTTATCTACTTTCCGTATCAACTCGTGTTGAGATATTTAATTTTCTGTGTACAAATAAGCTTAGGTTCAAATGATGTGGTGAGAAACAGTATGAGATTAGAGTATTGACTAATACTTAAAAGACGTATGTGAATTTTATTGAGAAAACAAAGTTTAAATTATATGGAAAACGAAATAAAACTGGATGAAAATGTATCACTAATGTTTCACTTGAAATTATCCGACACCCCTTGTGAGAATGCAGCACAGCTTGGATTCGTCTGGTAACAGGTAAGTTAGTATGGCATTTAACGATAAACTTATTGGCTCACACGTTAAATTACGGTTGGTGTTCTAAACAACTTGCAATCAGTAATGAAATGGCTGACTTAGGAGTAGTGAAATACTTGATTTAGTATTTCACTACTCCTAAGGACCAATTTACGTCATAATTCACAAAATTATCATAATTTCTTCAATTTCTGTCACTTCACAGTCACAATTTCGATTGATTGAATGATTTGTTTGTTCTTGCAATATTTACTTACAGACAACTCCCGCTTACTCGACATTTCCCCTAACTCGGTGAAATTCAAAGTCGCATCAATTTTGCATGTGTTTCTCCCTAACACTATACTTCCTCAACTCGTTACCACCATTAGCCAATGTGTTTTGATTCAGTTTTCCATGCATTGTCACCTCTCTAAGTCGAGGCAATATATATATATATCTTTTTTTGTAATTTAAGATAAAGCTGCAGCAGTAAAATAGGTCATAGAAATTCAAAATGAAGCTTAATTCTGATCTATTAAACAGATTTTTGGGTTAACTCTTATGCGCGGGAAGATTTTTTTTGCTTTTTCTACACTGTGTTATACAAATGGGAGCTGGGTACCCGGTGCCCCGTCACACACATAACGGTTAAATCATACGTGATTTTTAAGTCAAGAAATCTGAAAAACATATCCAACTTGACTAATTCACAAACTAAACATTAAATATAAATTCCAATTTCATATTAAAATCATAGCTCATCATTATAGCTCTAAGTACAATTATTGAGTTATGATAAGGACTTTAAAAGTTGTGATTGTTTTTCCGACGTTCTGTAACTTGATACCGTAATGCATCGGACAGTACATTAATCCAAACTTTTCATTTATGATTAAATATTACGTCTACTATGATACATATTTAAAGAGATGCTTCAGAACGACACTGAAAGACCATAATAAAATTTACGTGCTATTTTGAGCATAGTAGGCAGAAATAATCAACTTTTAAAAGTGACCGGATTTATGGCGTCCGGATTTCGAGTCTTTACAATACCTCCCTAAGTCGCTGGTCCCTTGAATATCGAGTAAGGGAGAGTTTGCTTTAAATTTGAAAGATCATCACCTGACGACCTCACTATGTTAAACTTTTCTCTATGCTATACTTACCACATAATTATATTAATGCAAAAATGGTACAGGCTTAGAATGCTCTCAATTAAAAACTGTGGAAGTGCATCGGTGTATCCATTTTTGAACTATAGTTGGCACAAATAACTAAATTGATTACAACCTTTAATCAAAATAACTGATTTATGCAATACCTGAAGAACCAAATCTTTCGTTTATATATTTTTTTTTCAAGTGGATTCCATAAACGAACCAAGTTATAAACGCTATAAACTGGTTTTTATAATTAACTTAAGGTTACCTTCAATAAATCAGATATGTTTTATTTAATTTTGTATACATTTATTTCTCACAAACAGTTCTATGCAGACGCTAATAGAACTGTTGATGGCGCACATTTTTTTCAGAATCAATCAAGTTGCTACCTTTTTTAGTTGAAAAGTTATTAGAGATTTTCGTGAAAAACATATGAATAAAGCAAATTGTTCAACAAAAATCAATTTTCCACCAGAAAGAGATAGCAAGAACATGCGGTATCAAAAGTAGAAAAAGATTATTGGACAAATTGTTTAAAAAAATCAATGCACAGGGGTTCAGAAATGAAAATTTGGAGGAAATAAATATTTTGATCCAGAATTTGCTACTTTACCAGCATAGTCTCTCCGGTGAAGTTGATGCTTATAATAAGGTCTTAAATTTGATGAAAGTTGTGAATAGTGTGGCCCTAAAATTGACAAAAAAATACTTTTTTTATTTCTGTTTATATTATGATAAAACCTTCTACAACAATGCCCAAACGTCATATCATTTCATTTAGATAGGGTGTCCCTATAAATAATAGTTTTTAGGATAACTCATTTATTTCAAATTATACGTGATCTTGTATAACAATTTTCTACTCATGAAATTCAATCCTTTAATAAAAAAAATTTCATAAATTTTTCACCAAAAATAAAGTCATTTTCAATTGTGTAATCATCGTTTTAAACAAAAATCGATTATAGCTTTTCAATAAAAAGGAATAGTAAATTGGTTACTTCAGCAGAAACACACGTAATCAAAAGATCTGAAAGGGTTTAAAAATACTCCATTTGCGAAAACTCAACACAGAAACATTCAACTAAATGAAACCTAATTTTAGGGATCACACTTGTGCTGCGGATAAACTTGAATGACAAACTATGAGCAGGAGCATTATTTTTAAAAGCTATCATCGCGAACTGCCTTCGCTTTTTCAAGTGCATCCAAATTGATCAACATACATCGAGACTCATAAGATGGTAAGGGAAAACTCGTCCAACCTAACTTTCTTAGAGCAAATAATAGAAACTGTTTTCGATCTGATCTATTATCTTGACATGGAGTCCAGACTATACTACAGTACTCAAGGAGGGGCCTAACATATGCTACGTATAATGTTTTGATTGTGTATGGATCATTGAAATGAAAACTAAACCTTTTAATAAACCCTAGCATGTTGCTTGCCTTATAGATAATGTTATTATAATGTTCAACAAAGCCTAATTCAGAATCTATTATAACACCTAAATCTCTAACTTGATTGCACCTTTCTACTCTGTTTTATCATATTGTTACATGTTCTTGCCTAATAATTTGCTTTCTTGTAAATGAAATGGAATTACATTTCTTCACATTAAGCTTTAATACATTTTTTGTGCACCAAGTGTAAAAGTTATAAATTTCTTGTTGAAATACTACAAGATCAGACCCTTCATGAATTTCTAGGAAAAGTTTCATGCCGTCTGTATATATTGGGACATTCATACATCATTAACAAATAGAATAAAAAGTAATGGTCCAAGATGGGAGCGTTATGGCAAACCATATGTTACATTAACTACTGACGATAAATTTCCTTCAAATCTAACTATTTGTGTCGTACCGGTCAAGTATGACTGAATCCATTTTATTAGCTGTTGACTAAAACCTAACTTAGATAATTTGAATAGTAAAAGAGGGATATCAGCTCTATCAAACGCTTTACTGAAGTCTGTATATAGTGCTTCAACAAAATGTCCCTTATCCATTGCGTGAATAGAAAATGTTACAAAATTCAACAGATAAGTAGTCGTTGAACGTCCTTTAACAAAACCATGCTGTTTGCCTGAAATTACATGTTTA